ACTAAGTTTGTATGATAAGTTGGGGCAACACATTGGGTGTCAAGAAGAGAGGCTGTTTTATGTGATTTTTAAACTTTTTTTGAGCCAGGATTGAGTACGTATTTTTTTTTTTTAGAGTTTAGCCACTTCTAATAGCAAGAGTGCCTAGAAACTTATTTTAGAGAAACTCCGCTAAAAGTTATGGAGCTTGAAGCTCACCGATGAGTATTCCGATGAGTATTTTGAAAAACCAAAAAATCAAAGAAAGAGAGGATTTTTGAGCTTGTTGTGGCCTTGTTGGATGTGTGTCTTAGGTGGGAAGAATTAATGCGCGAACATTATTGGCCTGAAGTAACTTCACCGGAAACTATGGATAATAGAAGAGTTTTCTCTAGTAAGAGTGCTATTGTTTAGTTTATTATGCTCTATTTTTCCTTGTGTTTTTGTTTGTAAATAGGTTGTATTTATAGGCAAAGGTGGGACTGGAAAAAAAGGGAAATCTTCCCTCCAAATGTGTTTGAATCTTGGCTGAAGACTTGGCAAGAGAGTAAATACATGGGAGCTAACGAGAGATTCTTGTTGACTTGTTATGCTAGCTATTTTGGGTGGTGATTTGGGAAGGAAGTGGCTATGTATTTAAAAGAGCGCTTTCGCCTTGTTTGTATAAGTCTTGAGCTTCCTTAAAAAGGGCCGCACATTTGACCATAGGGAGAATAGAGAAAGAGCAATTTTTTATTTTTATTGCATGTGTATAGTCAAGAGGGACCAATGAACTTGTAAGATTTTTTGGGTAAAGAATTTTGGACAATTAAAATTGGATTTTGGGTAATTTCTATTGTATTTACTAATTTTCTCCGCAACCCATATTATGCTAATTCACGAGGCCTCCCAAGTGAACAAACAAAATAGACAATTTACATTTCTTGTCCTACCAAACCGCAACCTAAGTAAAGGTGATGTGCCACATCATGGGAAGTCTGAACCAAGCAGCCCAAGAAAGAAGGAATCCAAGTCTGAAGGCCCAATGGAGTAAGAGGAGAGTTATAAGGGTCCAATTATCAGATCAAGGTTTAAAATTGTCAATTTGATCACCTATTTGGAAGGCTAGCTGGCGTGAAGATCCCTCTGCTAAGTTGCCTTTTTATATTAATTGCTAAGTTACTTGTTATCTATTTAAGCAATTAGTTACTTTTCTGTCATGACCAAAACAGATATTTAGTTTCCCATTATGTTAGTTGCTAAGTTTCCCGTTTGTAGTAATTAGTTAGTTTCTTGTTTCCCATTTTGTTTTAATGGCTGACCCTCTCTATATAAAGGGTGTCCGCTCAAGCTTTGAGACAGATTATTATTTTTAGAGTATTGATTCTTAATATAATTCAATTTCAATTTCTCTTATCCAACTTATTTCCTTGTTGGTTGCGAGTGTTTTTGACTTATCTTAAGAGTTTTTCCATCCTTTTTAAGTGGCGTCTATCTAGTGATAATTATAGTGAGTTTATCTCTTATCAATCATTACAATTCCCAACTTTAATTTTTAGTTATTTACTGTTTGAATTTATTTTGTGCTAGTTATTGCTAAATTTAGAATTTTAACTCTTTTAGACTCATCAAAAGGTTCCCAAAACGTGGCTTGGGTCTACGTACCTAGAGATGTCAATTGGGTCGGTTCGCCCATCGAGCACCATGGCATGGCACAAAAAATTTTTGGCTAAAAACGGCACGGCACGGAATTTGTATGGGCCATGCTAAGCACGACACGAGGTGGTGGGCTGTGCCAAGTTTATAGTTTTAAGTACGTGGATCAAGCACAACACAACACAATAACAAGCACGACCATGACACGAGCACTTACAGATTTTACTAAAACTTTTGAGGTTGAGTGTGATGCATCCGGGATTGGCATTGGAGCTGTCTTGAAGCAAGAGGGGTGGCCTATTGCCTATTTCAGCAAGAAATTGAGTGGTTCGTGCCTAAACTACTCAACGTATGATAAGGAGTTCTATGCGCTGATTAGAGCATTGGAAACTTGGCAGCACTACCTCTTACCAAAGGAGTTTGTAAATCATACAAATCACGAGTCCTTGAAGCATTTGAAGGGACAAGGCAAGTTGAATCGACGGCATGCCTAGTGGGTGGAATTTATGGAGGCATTCCCTTATGTGATCGAGTATAAGAAATGAAGCGTGAACGTAGTAGCTGATGCCCTTTTGCGGATGTATGCACTAATCTCTATGCTTAATACGAGATTAATGGGATTTGAGTTGATTGTAGAATTATACGAGAAGGGTGGTTCCATACTTCACCAAGATTTGTGAAGATTGCACAAAGGGAGCAAAGGAGGATTATTTTCGGCAGGAAGGATTCTTGTTTAAAGCAGGCAGATTATGCATTCCTTTTGGCTCAATTAAAGAGCTTTTGGTTCGTGAAGCTCATGGAGGAGGTCTTGCTAGTCACTTTGGAGAGAAAAGAACCTTGGAAGCATTGAAGGAGCACTTTTATTGGCCAGCCATGTTCTGAGATGTTCATCGAATTGTCGAGCGATGTGTCACCTGCAAGAAGAGTAAGAGCAAAGAAATGGCCCAAGGATTGTATATGCCGCTACATGTGCCTAGTCATCCATGGGAAGATATAAGCATGGATTTTGTTCTGGGTTTGCCTAGGACACAACGAGGAAAGGATTCGGTAATGGTGGTGGTGGATCATTTTTCGAAGATGTCACACTTTATTCTGTGCCATAAAACTGATGATGAGTCATATAGCTGATTTGTTCTTCAAAGAGGTTGTTCGTTTGCATGGAGTTTCCAAGAGCATTGTTTCTGACCGTGATACTACGTTCTTGAGTTACTTTTAGAAGACTTTGTGAAAAAAACTGGGAAGTAAGCTCTTGTTTAGTACGACATGCCATCCTCAAACCAATGGTCAAACAGAGGTAGTAAATTGAGCACTTTCTACTTTGCTTCGTGCTGTCATTAATAAGAATTTGAAGAATTGAGATGAGTGTTTGGCATATGTTGAGTTTGCTTATAATCGTAGTGTTCATAGTGCTACTAAGAAATCTGCTTTTGAGGTGGTTTATGGCTTCAACCCAACTACACCCATTGATTTAGTACCTATACCAGTCAGCGAGAGGAGTTGTACGGATGGAGCTAAGAAGGCTGAATGGGTAAAGGCGATGCATAGGAAGGTTAAAGAACAAATGGAAAAGAAGAATGAAGCCTACAGGAGAGCAGCCAACAAAGGAAAGAAGCAAGTCCGATTTGTTCCAGGTGATCTCGTTTGGATTCGTCTTCGTAAAAAGCGATGGTCCATTCTGCGTATTAGAGAAGGTGAATGACAATGCCTACAAGCTTGAATTTCTTGAAGATTACAATGTGAGTCCTGCATTCAATGTGCGCATGACCATACGCCCTATTTGGAGGATAGTATTGAAACTGAAGATGTGTGGATTTGAGGGCAAATCCTTTCCAACAAGGGGAAGATGATGTGCCATATCATGGGAAGTCTGAACCAAGCAGCAGCCCAAGAAAGGAGGAATCCGAGTCTGAATGCCCAATGGAGCAAGAGGAGAGTTATAAGGGTCTAATTACCAGATTAAGGTCTAAAATTGTCAATTTGCTCCCCTATTTATACGTACCTAGATATGTCAATTGGGTCGGTCCACCCATCGAGCACGATGGCATAGCACACAAAATTTTAGGCTAAACACAGCACGGTACGTAATTTGTATGGGCTGTGCTAAGCACGACACAAGGTGGTGGGCTGTGCCGGGCTCATAGTTTTAAGCATGTGGATCAGGCACAACACGACACAATGGAAAGCACGGCTCATCGAGCACGGTGGGCTGCATGACGAATATAATTTTTTCTTTTTTTCTAATAATTTTACTTTATTGTTACAATTTACGTATTTGTTTGACCTTTAAAAAATCAAATAATTTTCATTAATTTTCATCATTTTAACAATTGTTATAATCAACAAAAAATAATTATAATTAGTTAGTAATATCAAATTTTGAACACGCTTTTAGTGCAAGTGGTCAAGTATTGGATGAACGGAGGGCACGACTATTACCAGATACGAAAGATTGGGAGGATGTAAGAAGAAGAAAATAACAACTCCAAGATAACATGATTGAAGATTCATAAACTGAGACGACAACTCAATGTTTTAGCTAAATTAGTTTAAATATGCAGTCTTCATTTTCAATAAGATTTTGAATGAGGGGCTTGACAGTAGTATTGATTTGTAATCTCTTTATAATATATGTTTCCTCTTCTCAATTATTTAAATAAAATGAAAAATTTTATTTATAAATTAACTACATCTAAGTTTTTTACTTTTTTTAATAGCATATAAAATTATATTTTTATAGAACTCGTTTAGTTGGAGGATTCATTCTCTGATTCGAATCATGGTTCATAGTTCGCTATAGTATTTTCTCTCACAAAACATACACATAAATAAAAAATAGTTCTAATTCATGAACCAAACGACTCTGTGTTTCTTGAGTTTTCAAATTCAAACTCTCATAAAACCTCACATTAAAATTCAAAAAGATTAATTTAAATCTTCTTAATGGGTGCGAGTTCAATTCCTTACTGTATATTAAAGAAAAAAAGAGAAAAAAAATCGTTGTTATCTGTGACATTGGATTGGAGTAAAAATGATCGTTGCATGGCCAAGGATTCGTCATTTGTGTGAACACAAGCAGAAAAGCAAAAAGCTACTACTATCGAGGCTATCCCGGGACCCACCAAAGTGGACCCCCACATGATGACGTGGCCTAATCAGAACCTTGAAGCGAATAATCCAAAGCCAATCCTAACACTCGCCTCTATTTCCACCTTTTTCGAGAGCTCCAACAAGAACCGCACTTGCCAAATCCCTGTCCTCTCTCGCTCTGTGCGATTTCGAGAGAGCGAGTCCACCATGGAAATGGCTATTTCCTTCAATACTTCCTCTTCCTTCTCCACCTCAAACCGTAACTCCAGAACTCTCTCTTCTTCTTCTTCTACGCACTTGCCAAATCCCTGTCCTCTCTCGCTCTGTGCGATTTCGAGAGAGCGAGTCCACCATGGAAATGGCTATTTCCTTCAATACTTCCTCTTCCTTCTCCACCTCAAACCGTAACTCCAGAACTCTTCTCTCTTCTTCTTCTTCTACTTCTTCTTCTTCTTCTTCTTCTTCTTCTCTTCCACTTTCTAAGCAACTCTCTGGTCTCCGACTATCTCCAATTACATTTTCCGCCGCCAAAACTTCTCTCAATTTCCGTCGGAGAGACCCTACTCGGCGAGCTCCGATCAAATGCTCCGTCACCGAAGCCACAGAAACCGCCGCTGGTATTTCTTCAACTTCTACGCTTAATAGTAGGAATGTTTGTTTCGGTTGTTTTGGGCATTCATTGGTGTTTGTGTTGGATTGTTTTGGTGAGTTTCGAAATGTGTAATTCACGTCCGATCAAATGCTCCGTCTCCGAAACTACAGAAACCGCTATTGCTGTTCCCTTTTCCCAATTTCTTTGCTTAATTGTGCTGAGAAAGAAGAGAAAAAATTGAAACTTGTGCGATACTTGGATTGTATGTTTTGGTTATCTTGGGAATTGTCGGTGTTTGTGATTCGATTGTTTTGGTATGTTTGGAAATGTGTGATTAATTTCCAGGAAATTGTTTCAGAGAAGAAGAGCCAATTGATGAGGAGAAGAGATATAAGGAATATAGCGATTGTGGCTCATGTTGATCATGGAAAGACAACTTTAGTCGATTCTATGTTGAAGCAAGCCAAGGTACTAATGCGTCTTCATAATTTTCATGTAAAAAAATGTTTCTTTTGCATACTTTCTTTGCCAATATGCAGAACAGAGAACACTTTGCCCGTTTGTTTTCCGCTTTTGAGATTATTTTTCACGTTTCTAGATAAAATTACATTGAAAACGCTATGAAAATAGCCCTTTTTTTTTTTTTTTTTTTGCGATCGTATTTCATCAACGGAACTAAAAAAGGGACCAATTTTTCCTAAGAAACCGGAAAACAATTGAAAGCCGTTGCAAACACTTTAATAATTTGTTTTTTAAATGACTTTGCTTATAAATTTGTTGCTTACAACAGAATATATGAGCAATATGGCTCCAATTACTCTCTTTAGACCATTAAAAACTAGAGGAGAAGAAGAGGATATGTAGTTTTATCACTCGCCAACCATGTGTTTGATGAAAGTCATTTTCAGCCAGTTATTATGATGAGGAATATTGTCATGTTTCTAATTGTCTTTTTTGCAGGTGTTCCGTGATAACCAATTTGTGCAAGAAAGAATAATGGACTCAAATGATTTAGAAAGGGAAAGGGGTATTACTATTCTAAGCAAAAATACGTCTATCACTTATAAGGATACAAAAATTAATATAATTGATACTCCTGGGCACTCCGACTTTGGAGGCGAAGTGGAACGTATCCTCAATATGGTGGAAGGGGTTCTCCTAGTGGTACTCCTTTGCACATTTTATTTTTCAATGAAAGTTTTTGTTTCTTGTTTGAAAAAACAATTTGTGATATATATATGCCAAGTAGGTTGATGATTGAATGTTGAAACTATGAAAGAAAAAGCTGATTCCTTGTGGACTTTAGTGGGTTCCAGTATAATCCTGTGTTATTCCTGTGGATTATATCCAATTACTTAGTTTCTATGATGATCTGTTCACGAAAAAACGCTTTTCCTTCTTTTAGGTAGATTCTGTTGAGGGTCCAATGCCACAAACAAGATTTGTTTTGAAGAAAGCTCTAGAATTTGGCCATGCTGTTGTTGTCGTCGTCAATAAGATTGATAGACCCTCAGCTCGTCCAGATTACGTCATTAATTCCACCTTTGAACTTTTTATTGAACTTAATGCGACAGACGAACAGGTAGATTTCTCCTTTTTTTGTTCTTATTCTTCTTTCTAAAATTCTAAGTAGTGGCGTAAATGCAGTTAAAAATTTAAATAAATTTCAATATCTATTTTCTGACAAAATGGAAAAGGGATGTTGAAGCAGTCTTATGCGTAATAAATCCAATGCATCAGAACGATCTTTCACATGAGTACAATCTGTTTCATGAGTAGGATTCATTGTTTAATCACCAGAGAAAGCAAGGATATTATGCTAAATCCCAATTTGAAGTCTGGATAAGAGGGTTAAAGCTAAAAATGAAAGGTCTTGCCATAGTTGTTTCAAGTAGTCTTTATCTCATTTAAATTCCCTTTGGTGCAGTGCGATTTTCAAGCAATATATGCTAGTGGTATCAAAGGAAAGGCAGGTTTATCCCCTGATAATTTGGCAGAAGATCTTGGGCCACTTTTTGAGGCAATAATCAGATGCATACCAGGACCACGTATTGAAAAAGATGGTGCCCTTCAAATGCTTGTTAGTGGTTGTCCTGTCATTTTATTTCATTTCTGTATAGCTGTTCTTTCTATTTCCATTTCTATTTACCTTTTTCACTCTGATTCTTTCCTGTCTTAATGAACATAGAGAATACTTGAAGAAATATTTGTGAACAAATTTCAGATCAAGTTCACAATGAGACTGGGTTTTACTTTTTACATAGAAAGGACTTTAGCAGCAAACTAGGACTTTTAATCAGTATGAGATAGATAGAATGAATAAAGTTAAAGTTTATTATTCTGACAGAGAATGGAGTTGGAAGACGAAGAGTAAGCGAAAATATCGGAATCCTCGTCTATCTTTTGATTTTTATGTGTGCTTATTTATTTGTTAAGAATAAAGTATATACATGAAATTTTAGTGAGTTTTAAGTCTTGACTAGTTATGTAACTTCAGGAGTTTCGCTTGCCTTAATTTGTTTCTGTGTGATATTTTGAACATAAAACTATTATTAGTAAACTACATTGCATCTTAAAAAAAAAAAAAATGAACATAAAACTATTATTAGTAAACTACATTGCATCTTAAAAAAAAAAAATAATAATAATATGCCATGGTCATTTTTCTACCTTTTATGTGTAGTTCAGAAGTTCCTTCATCCGAAGCTATTGTTGAACTATTGTACCATAAGTGTCAATTTATTCCTTGTGTGTGCGCGCGATCGTGCATGTTCATGTAGTTTTCTCAATGTTACTGTCTAATTTATTCTGCCGCATTATTGCTGTTTACATATCCTAGGTTACGAATATTGAATATGATGAACACAAAGGACGAATCGCTATTGGACGTGTGCATGCTGGGACTTTGCAGAGAGGCATGGATGTGAGAGTGAGTTATCTCTAAACCTGGAAACTTTCTGCAGAGTTGTAGATTTCCTTCTCTTTCCTTTAATATTTTCCTTTTCCTATACTGTATGTTGTATTGTCATTTGCTATATTTGCTTGCTTGAGGATCTAATTGCAGTGAAGGTCGTCTTTGAGGGATTTTGTTAAACTGTTAAAATGAAAAAGAGATCCTTGTTCATTTTCCTTTTTTGTATCTTCTCTGAGTTTTGTCTTAAATGAAAAAGGAAACACAAGGCTTTGACGTCTCTGTTGAAGTCTTATTCTGACAGACAAGACACATAATAGCATAAAAAAAGTCTTTTCCAAAATTATATGTTCTTTAAGTCTTGGGGTTAAAATTTTTGCGTATCATTATTTTCTAGGTATGCACCTCAGAAGATTCATGTAGATATGCAAGAGTAAGTGAACTTTTCGTGTATGAAAAGTTCAGTAGGGCTCCAGCGGATACTGTGGAAGCTGGTGACATCTGTGCTGTTTGTGGAATTGATGATATTCAGGTGATAATTTACTTCTGGCGTAATCTACTGTTGTTACAACTTACTACTTCCTATATAGATACTACTTTCATGCCATATCAGTTTATAACTTCTGACAGATGATTTGTCTATCAAAATTGTCTCAAGATCTTATTAACACGCCTCTCAATATGATTTCTCAGATTGGTGAGACGATAGCTTGTAAATCATCTGGCAAGCCGTTACCTGCTATTAAGGTGGAAGAGCCAACTGTGAAAATGGCGTTCTCCATAAACACTTCTCCATTTGTTGGTCGTGAGGTACTTTTATACTTTAGTTATTTGTAGGTCTTACCAAAACTATGTGACCAAAACTATGTGGCATTCTCGTGTAACTAGTCAAGAATGTATCAATGTCTCTCAAAGATCTACACTTCTCCATTTGTTGGTCGTGAGGTACTTTTATACTTTAGTTATTTGCAGGTCTTACCAAAACTATGTGACCAAAACTATGTGGCATTCTCGTGTAACTAGTCAAGAATGTATCAATGTCTCTCAAAGATCAGTATACTTTGTACCCTGATCGTAGATCAGTAATATAATACATGTCAGCATAATTAGTTACTAAAATATAGTCCAAGTGGAGCCGATGACCCAAAACTATCTTGGCTAATTCCCAGGGAAAGTATGTTACCAGTAGGAACTTACGAGATCGGCTTTACCGTGAGCTCGAGCGTAATTTGGCTATGAAAGTTGAAGATGGTGAAACTGCAGATACATTCATTGTTAGTGGGCGTGGTACCTTACACATTACCATACTGATAGAAAACATGTGAGTATAAGTTGTGCTCTTGCCAATTCCATCGCATTTACATGCATATTCTAAACTTACTGCTTTTCAGGCGAAGGGAAGGTTATGAATTCATGGTGGGACCTCCCAAAGTCATAAACAAAAAAGTGAATGACCAGTTGCTGGAACCATTTGAGGTAATGTCATCAGGTTTATATATTCCTATTAGAAGTTTTGAACATAAAAATAACAATAATTATAACATTATTATTGTTATTATTAAAGATGTCAGAGTCGTTGGCAAAATCATTGACATTGTTTGGCCTGGAAAAGATAAGTGGGAATATATTAATCTAACTATATATAATAAGTTTCAAAACCGTTACTGTTCAATTCAACCAAAACATGCGTTTTGGTTGAAATGCATGTTTTCGCCCTTTTGAGTTTTTTTCCTTTCTTATTTTGCTTTTGATGTTTTTTTTTCCCTTTCCATCTTCTTTTGTTTATTTTACCCTTTTTCCCCAAAATTTTATATTTTTCGCTCTTGCCCTTTTAACTTTTTTTTTTCTTTCATCTACCTAATTTTTTTTTTGCAGATGTTGTCCTATTTAGAGTTTTCTTTCTGGTGGTGCCTGAAACTTATTTATTTCTTCATTTAAGTCCTAATTTCCCCTTTTTTTTTTATTTTTGTCCTGAAATTTTATTCTCTCTTTCGTTTTAATTCCTCTTGCCTAAAACTTATTTATTTCTTCATTTTGGTCCTTTTTTTACCCTTTTTTTTTATTTTTGCAATGAATTTTATTTTTCTCCCATTTTGGTAGTCCTTTTTTACCTTTTTTTTATTTTTTATTTTAGTCCTGAAATTTTATTCTTTTTCTGTTTTTGTTCCTTTTGTCCTGAAATTTATTTATTTCTTCATTTTGGTCCCTTTTTAACCTTTTTTTTATTTCTCCCTGAAAGTCTATCTTTTTTACCCTTTTAGCTTATTTATTTCTTCATTTTAGTCCTTTCTTGACCCCTTTTTTATTTTTTCTTGAAATTTTATTTTGTTTCGTTTTGGTTCCTTTTACCCCAAAACTTATTTATTTCTTCATTTTGGTCCTTTTTTATTCCTTCTTTTTATTTTTGCCATGAAATTATTTTTTTTCCGTTTTGGTACCTTTTGCCCCAAAACTATTTCTTCATTTTAGTCCTTTTTTGACTTCTTGACCTAAAACTTTAATTTTTTTTCTTTTTCCATTTTGTTTATTTTTTAAGATTTTATATTCAGATGTTACATGCTTTGAATAATAACATGGTAATTAAAACTTAACACACGATTATTTCCCATGTGCATAGCACGTGGAGTTCAACTAGCAACATAACAGATGAAGTGGTATGAATTTGTGATCCTTAAACAAAACTTTCTGAAACTTATGATGTTCAGAGCATTATCTGGCATGTATGTGGAATTTAAGGGAATCACAAGTTAAGCATATGGTCCATGTGGTAAAATAAATTTTGATAGAAAATCACTTGATTTCGTTCATGAAAATTAGTTCTTAGTAGAAAAGCAAGCAAGCCACCATTTTGGACTCAGTAGATTGTATTATGTGTTTGCTTGCAGATTGCCACAGTGGAGGTGCCAGAAGAACACATGGGATCAGTGGTAGAGCTTCTTGGCAAAAGACGAGGTCAAATGTTTGATATGCAAGGAGTTGGGTGCGTATAATGTTTATTTGTATTATGTTACGTACGAGTATTCAAGTTCAAAATTAAACCATCATAATTACTAGCTTATACGAGTGCCTGACAAAAAAATTCCGCGCCATTTTCTGTGGTGATTATCAATGAGCCTATGCAGTGCATGGATTGAGCTAGAATAAAAGTTTGCCATTCAATATAATAAGGGGACAAAGCATGGGGATGATCATGATGCAATTTTACCTATCAAGCACACTTTTATTACTTCTGTGTCATTTTGATTCATATACTAGGTTACAGGTAGCTGAATTAGCTCCATATTTGACATAAGTCGTAAGCTGATAATCTTTATTTTTTGTGTGATAGGTCGGAAGGCACCACCCTGCTTAAATACAAGATTCCAACCCGTGGTCTTCTCGGTCTTCGGAATGCAATACTAACAGCTTCTCGAGGGACTGCAATTCTCAATACGATATTTGATAGCTACGGGCCCTGGGCTGGTGATATCAGTACCCGGGATCAGGGCTCACTGGTAATTTCTTATGCATTTTTTTTTATCTTTCTTAAATTTGGTGGTGGGGATTTCGACCTTAAGTCCTCAGTATCGGAGGTGGTTTCTGAAATTAGGTCCTCAGTTTTCGAACATTTTCATTGCAGTATCTACTAATTGAGATTAATTCGATCTTCTCTCTTTTTTTTTTTTTATTGGTTTTTTAATAGTGTGATACATGAGATTCAAGTGATTCATTCACGTGTATTGAGCAAAAAAAGTGATTCACGTGTATAAACTGAAGTACGAAATCATGTGGGAACTGTGTTTTCAGGTTGCTTTCGAAGATGGAACAAGCACATCTTATGCTCTTTCCAGTTCACAAGAGAGAGGGCAGATGTTTATTGGTCCCGGAGTGGATGTTTATAAAGGTCAGATTGTTGGAATCCATCAACGGCCTGGGGACTTGGCACTTAACGTCTGCAAGAAAAAGGCCGCAACAAATATACGTTCAAACAAAGAACAAACAGGTAGCTTTGATCCCAACCCTACTAGAGAACAAGTGTTTAACTGTTACTACACCATTATCTCCTAAAAGCCCTAAACTATTACAGTCTTAATCCAAGATTAACCATCAAATACTTGTTTGTACTTTGAAAATTTTGTTCATTTGCGGCACAATTATTGGGTAAAATCGCCTTTCTTTATGCATTTTCTTCTCTTCTTGTAGTCATTCTTGATACACCATTGGACTATAGTCTGGACGACTGCATTGAGTACATCCAAGAAGATGAACTTGTAGAAGTGACACCCTTGAGCATTCGCATGTGCAAAAACCCTAAGATGGCAAAGAAATCAAGGTAGACGAATATATAGACAATATCGATGTCAACTTTTCGCAACGATCGCTCGGGAACTTAATAGCTTCCTCATTGAATCCACATACTTATAGCAGATAGATTCAAAACTCTGCGTAGCTGTTCCCTTTTATGCATCGAAATTCTAGAGCATTAAAAGGGTAAGTAGGATTTTGCAATCTTGGTGATATACAAAGGGCAGCCATCAAAATTGTACTAGTACAAAATTATTCATTGTTTATAAGGTGAGTTAGATCGCCTATATTGAGTAGTAATGTTGTAAACTTTTTCGACTCTTCTAGGGAAAATAATTCTAAACTCCAAATTGTGTTTTTCCTTCTTATTTGACCAAAGACCAAAATGCCATATATTTCCTACTGGCAACAAGTCAAATGAGAAGGCTGGTGGACTTGAGCTTGCAAATGCAAAATTAGGGGAGCACAAGTCCTGTCTGCAGGCGTGCTATGTAGACCAACTAGTGGGGCCCACCATCAAACCAAGATTGGTTCTCATCGAAAAGGTTCCTTTGAGTTTTTAGAACAAGTCGTGGATGAATCTTTCCAACTACAACTAATTTTGGAAGACTTTTTATTATTATTATTATTTTCCCCCATGTTTATCTCACTTTTCCATTGACCTTCTAGTATGTGGAAATTAAAGATTACTTTGATTAGGTATTTAAGAGAGGTGTAGCAAAATTAAAAGCAATTAATCAATTATAGTTGGTAGGACCCAATGCTTTGGTTTACTGCCAAGTGGACGGTTGAGATTAATAGCAGATATGTTAGAGAATTTGTTCTTTGACTTGTTCCTATAAGGCCAACGACAATAGACCTGTAATTTTCGCATAGCGTGGCTCGTTTTAGTATCGCGAACAACGCTAGCATCCCCCATAAAAAAAACTATCTAGTAGTCAGAATTTTTTCATACAATGGTAACAACCCCACCACCACCCTTTTGTTTGTTTATTTATATGATTTGGTTTACGGACTAATTCTGCAATTAGTAATCATGATTATAGAGGTCAAACCTCCGTAGTGTGTATTTTGATGACTATTTAGCACGTAAGTGAGCCGAAGGCCTTGCATCTGGAGGATTCTAGAACCATCTTCCTGAAGTTACTCATAAGAAAAGCTATGGTAGTCGTCAATCTAGAAAACCCACCTTCTGTCTTGTTCTTCAACTGTTTGATCTTTATTTTTACTAAGGGAATTTTTATGGTGCCAAGAGAATTCCCGGCACCATACTAGAAATTCAATCATTTAGACATTTTATGTTAGAATTTGTGAATTTCAAATATTTGAGTTATATAGATTTCGTTCAGTTCGTTGATTTAAAATTTTAATTTAAATTAAGATGAGATTTTATGTGAGCTTTTTACTGTAATAGAAAAAACTAAATGTGATTTTTTATGAGATCTTTTAATTACAATAAAATTAAAATTAAAAACTTAAATCAGTAAAAAAAATAAATTTTAAATTATTATAAATTTATGAATTTTAAAAGAAATATGACTTTTAATTACAATAAAATTAAAATTAAAAACTTAAATCAGTAAAAAAAAATGAATTTTAAATTATTATAAATTTATGAATTTTAAAAGAAATATGTAAATTTGTGCATAATGTACTTGCGAACTTTCAATAATACAGTTGTAAAAATGACGTCAGAGGAGAAAATAGGAGAAAATTTTTTTAATGTATAGAAATGACGTGGGTCAAGTCATGATTGTCTTTCTTTGCTTCACGAATCATGAGCTTCCTTGTGAAGCTGAGGATGGTGAAAAATCTCTATTTAGTTAATGGATTACACGCGGTCAGTTAATGGATTACACGCGGTCAATGGATATTATAAGAAAATCTCTATTTAGTTGCTATGATTTTGAGTGAAGAATGACTCAGTGTTTGGAATTGAGAAATATAAGACCCATTTAGTTCGTTAATTTAAATTTTTAATTTGAGTTGAGATGTAACTTTATATGAGATCTTTTTATTGTAATAAAAAAATTAAATGTAATTTTTTTTAAAATTTTTTTACTGTAACAAAATTTAAATTATAAACTCAAATTAGTGAAATGAACGAGACCATAAAATATGCAATTTTCTACCCCTTTGGTCAGCTCTCATCATTGAAAGCCATGAATCAGTCAATCACAAGACCTCTAGAAACAGTTCATTTCTATGTTTTTTTTAATCAAATAAAACTAGTTAAATATAGGGGTAATTTGCATGAATGGTTCTTAATTTTTTTTAAAAATGACAGTTTAATTTTTAATTTTTTTTAAAGAAAATGACCCCTAACTTCTTTTAAAAGAGTGCAAAATCATTATTTCTGTCAATTACCATCTAAAAAGTAATGGTACAGTATACATATTACAGTTATGACCCATATTTTTATTGGAAAGACGAAAACAAGTCTGTATATTCAAGCACACTCGGCCATAGGATTGATAATGATGACTTGTGAGTGATAATTGTGAAAGGTATATGGAACTATCCATAGTAAATATATAGCTTACCCAACAGAAAGAAGAAAAACACATGCCTATATACAACCAAGGCACCAGAACTCCAGAAATGTCACTAGTTTTTGAATTGCCGTGAATAATTAAAAATTACGACTATATTATATTAATATAAGATATATAATTATAATATAATATATATTTATTATTATATTTAATATAATACAAAATAAACTATTATTATATAATTATGATATAGAATATAATATTATTATTAAAATAATAACAAAAATAATTAAAAATTAGGATTATATTATATTATATTATACCATAATATAATATATATAATTACAATATAATGTATATTTATTATTATATTTAATATAATATAATAAAACTATTATTAAATAACATATTATATAATAATGATATAGGATATAATAATATTATTAAAATGATTAATATAATTATAATATTATAAAACATATTACAATATTA